TTCCAACATCACTGCAGTATGAATTCAAAAAAATAATATAATTGTACAATTAACACCTTTGGGAGCAGGGTACTAGGTGTGGCTGAGCTTGATCAATATTGCGAATGTTTTTCTTTCATCCTATATAAGCTTTCATGGTGGATTATGAAAGAGAAAAGATATTGATCAAATCCTGTAGTTAATAAATTTCAAAATGGAGAAACGAATTTAAGTCATAAGAACGATCGGCTTAGTGTTTTCTGTTTCCTGGTGGAGCCTTCAAAGTTTGGTAACAATCACTATCTATCGTAATTGTAACTATATATGTATGTATCTTCAAAATATCGTATGTAGCAACACAAACGACAAAAAACATCAATATTTGTAAGTAAAGAAAACTCCATTTTGCTTCAAAATTACTATATAACATTTTGATTTAATGCAGAATCAACGAATCAAACTATGGCAGCTGCATCTTCTTCATCACTAGCAGCCCCATCATTGCCTCCATCATCATTAACAGCCAACACCGAAAAGGCAAATTACATTCGATTGTCAAGACTTCTGGTTGACATTGGTACAGCCGTTTTACAAGAAGTCTTTGACTCTTTCCATCCATCACCTACATTACATGGAGTGCTTACTTCACCAACAGTAAATACTAAGCTTAAGAAGCTAAGAGCTAGGAACATTTTAAACACTGTACAATGGGATATCCTATATCCACCAGCAACCTCTGGAGTTGTAACATCAAAACGTTTTGATATCACATTACTCTTTCTCTTGCTGAGAAATATCTGCAATCTGAAAAAAACATCCACTGGATGGGATAAGGATCCTTCCCCTACAGACCATAGCATGTCAGCCGATGTACTTCGCATAAAGATGAGCAGAAATAAAATATATGCCCATGCAATTAATTTGGCATTGAATAAGAATGAGTTTGATAGGTGTTGGGCAGAAACTGAGGAAGCTTTGATAAGACTTGATGTAACAAACCATGTAAAGCCAAAAATTCAGAGTTTGAGAGTTCTACCCCTTGATATTGAGAATGATGAGTGTTATAAAGTTCTTCTTCGTGGATTAGAGGACAAAGAAGATAAGACATTTGATGCACTGGCAAAAATATCAAAGGATGTTGAACAGCTTAAAGAAGAAAAACACTCCAAATGTATGTGCCATTACTACATGTATATATAATTGTATGAGGAAGTAGCTGATCCCATTAAAGAGTGCTCAATACACATAAAGTGTAGAGCTAGCTATATATTATATGATATCAAAGAGGCAAGATTTTGCTGTTACTCCGAGTTTCGTGCTACGCACTCCATGAGTGCGTAGCACGAAACTCGGAGTAACAGCAAAATCTTACCTCTTTGATATCATATATATACATGTATATATAGAAAAATGTAAAAATAATTGTCTTGGCCAACTACCACGTCTAGCTACAAGGATATATATATATATATATTGACAGTTAGTGCCTATAGTAGGCATTGAAATATG